TCTGCAGTTTTTGTGTAAATAGCATATTCATTTAGTTGAAAGAAATACGGTTTTTTATAATTTTACTTACTGCGGTTTGTGAGTGTTGCTGACATTTATTATCGATTTTTTCATCAGATAACTTTGCCATGAATTGGTTTGCTATAATTAATTGTAACACGAGTTTATGAAGGGTCAACGTACAATAAGAATTTTCTACTTTCCTTCCTTAAAACCTTTTGTTACAGCTTCCATGGCTTTCACCTTTCGCGAACTGTGATTAGGATTGGTAGTTAGTTCGTATCAAATTTACGGTTTCGTGTGATCACTGCTTCAACTGTAGAGTATTATTCATTAAAATGTTCATTAGTGATTCATTAGTCAATTTTCATGGAATTTATCATGAAAATGCTCAGATGACATTTTGGTCAGAACCAGGGTAAACATCTTTAACGGTTCGATTGAAAACGGCTCGGAGATATTTGACAGTAGTAATGCTGATTGGGTAACGCATTACAAAAGGGAAAGCCTCTCGATTCGTAATAGGACAGCTTTTTTACAAGAACTGAGAAATTGGATTTCGGTAGTATCGATTCCTAATAAGTTTAAACATGCAGATTGAATCTCGGTAGGTGATCTTTCCCTCAGAGAATGTTATTTACCCGTTCTTATTACACGGGAACAGGATATGACTATTGAAAGTTGGAAATATCTATGCGTGTATTCGCATGTGATAAGATTCAATTGTATTAAAAGCAGGAGACCACAGCCCCAAGAAAAGCAGAATCTTGGAAGACTTTTCGATGGAGGGAGTCTCTGGAACCGACTGAAAACCTGGAATAAAAGCATTAGAATAAGGGTAGAGATTTTGATACTTTTATACCACACCACACACTTAGGTTTCATGATAGAAGTACTGCAGTGAATGTCAGATGCTGTCAGTTTTAAAGTTTATTTACAAACTTTTATTCCCAAATTAAACCAAAACATGAAATAGTAAAAACAAAATGTGGATTCGAATACGGAAGTTTCATATTCGTTAGCTAATAAAGCATGTTACACGACTTTAAACAAGAAACTTCATTCTATTTTGTTTAGCTTCACCTCAATATTAATTAACCCTTAAGTAGTCTCGTGGAGATAATGAACGTCTTGTGGCCAATTGTTATCACTGCCAAATAAAATAGCAGTGTCCTACTCTTCTGAGAACAGTACCTTGCAAGAGCTTGTTTACTTTTCTTTCAAGAAAATAATATATTTTGTACGCGTTAAAGTGCTTGAATTCTGTAACATTCTTTAAGACTGGGGAACTCGTGGAATTCTCACTCATGTCTATACTCGTCCGTGATATTACATAAAATTGAATTATTTTTGACGCTGGTAAAAAATAATAGGTTAGTGACAATGCTTAATTGAAATTTGTATTACTGTTTAGATTTTTCATACACATATAAAAAATAACTTGCATGATAGTAGTTACCAAATCAAGGTAATATGCAATCCCCCTTTTAGATTATATTAAATTTGAAAAAAATAAAATTTATTTAAAATTTTAAAAATTAAAATTTATTCAAGGAAATTGAATATTATGATGAATAAATTCCAAATCGACAATAATTGTTTGTATTATTTGGAAGAAAAAAGTGGTAATGCAAAGCATCTCCATGCGACTACTAATGGTAGGACCCCACGCAACATAAAATTCGTTATTATGTTGATTATTCAACTAAATAAAATCTGAATCTCTCATTATTGTGCCGCTGAATAAATTGGAGTGTGTAGGATAAAATAACCGCCTGCCGAAATTTCTTCAGCGTAGAGGTGGGTCTTCGTCTTTTAATCTTCCCCGGCCGTCGTTCGCACCTCCCCACTGGTTCATCTCCGCCAAGTTCGACGCATCTGGAGCGTTACTCCGACCGCAAGACCATCTCAGAGAAAACAAAAGGTCCCGCACCGCCTTCCGCACTCCGCCCTCTATCCTCACAAGCTTCTGCCGGAGGCATTTCCGAGCCCGGTCCTGAGGACGTGGATGGACGCTCGGCGTGGCAATTTCGCACTAGGCGAGGACGGAAAGGAAGAGAAAAAAACGAAGAAAAATAAAAATAAAAAAGATTCCGTCGCGAATCTTCGCGAAGGAGGTCTGGTTGCTTGCAAACGCGGCTGGGGAAGGGGAGTGTACGCATTAAGACGACAAAACAACTGCGGCAGCGGCGACAAAAGGCATTGAAGTGAGGAGAGCGGCAGAAGGCGAAAGCGGCGGTAGCTGTGCTCTTGTTGCTGAGAACGGGTGGCGAGGACGGGTGGCGAGGACGGGAGGTGAGAGCGTGATCGAGAGTGGCAAGAGGGGGAGGAGAGGCGAGAGGTGAAATGGAGGAAACACGGAGAGTGGCGATAGATCGAGAGAGGCGACAGAGAAAGATGGTACAAGAAGATGGGGCAAAAGAGAAGAAGATGAGACAAGAGAGAGGGTGGAATGGATCGAGAGGAGATGGAACGGGAGACGGATAGGGACGTGAGAGTGATAATGAACGGAAGAGGGACGGGGGATGCGTGAAGGGTAGGAGAGGGAAGTGGGATAGGGAACGGGAGATGGATAGGAGGTGGGAGAGGAATAGGGGACGGGAGAGGGATGGGGCCGGAGAGTGACAGGGGGCAGGAGAGGGATAGAGGCGGGAGAGGGGTAGGGGACGGGAGAGGAGTAGGGGACTGGAGAGGAATAGGGGACGGGTGAAGGATAGGGGTCAGGAGAGGGATAATAGAAGGGAGAGGGTTTGGGGCCGGTAGAGGGATAGGGGCCGGGAGAGTGAACTAGACATTGCGCGACGGAGAGTGAAGTGGGACGAGAGGGTAAAATTGGACAAGAGAGGGGGAGGGCGCGGATGGCGAGACGTACTCTCTGAACGCTCTCTCGAGTGCATTAGGAGGAAAGGGCCGCCGGCCTCCGGGATTTCCCGCGCCCTCCAACCCGGAGTTGGGAGGCGAGGGATGAGACGCGGGCGGCGCTGGGCGGCGTGGCGCATTTCGCGAAACAAAGAAACTCGATATCTCGGATTCGCAGCCTTTGCGATGTAGGCTGGCGCTCTCTGGAGAAAAGAAGTTATCTCGACGTCACTTGCACTAAATGAACGGGACCAACTCAAAAACACATTAGGCAGTTTTCATTGTGCGAAAGAAAGCATTTCTGACAGTCGAGTGTAAGGTTTCAACAAATTGAACTGAACTTGTACTTAAAACGTCCGCCTTTTTGTTAGAGAAGCCCACCTCGTTTACGTTTTTTTTTGTAGTTCTAAATGAAAATGATTATTTATCAAAATGTGAAATTTTTAGTTATTACATTTGACTTCATGCGTAATCGTGAATTGTGTATATTTTGTTAAGATTTTGCAACGAGAAATTCATTGGGAAACAGAGATACAGAGAAGTAATGAAGAAATTATGCACATTTTTATTATGTATTTTTAAACATGCTTTTGATAACTACTGTTAATATAAGTTGGAAAGTACAGCATTTACGTAGAATACATCAGAAGCAACAGTTGCAAATATGTTTCGTATTGAACGAGAAGTGTACAGAAGATGCTATTTACAAACAATAATGCGTGTGTTTATGTAAAATGATGTCGAAATATGTTTTCTCATATTTTAATTATGTATTTTGAATCAATTGAAATCACACAGAAAACGAATATGTGTTATAAATAAGTAAAAAATCATATTGTTCATTTAAGTAATAAAACACTACGATATGTGTCTATTCATTTTGCAATCATTTAAGACCATTGAATCATTACATTTTGGATTTTATGGGAAAATGTGGAGTCAGAAGTCAGATTAGTATATATATAACACCACCCGACAACAAGATTTTACGTCTTCAAGAAATTTTTCTTTGCAAATACAGTCCAGTTTTCGCGCCTGTTATGCGATGACGAGACTCTTTGGAGTGAATACTGAGGGCCCATAAATCAAAAATACAGAGTTAAACCATATGCGGTATTCTATCTGATCAAGTAGATACTTGTTCTATACTCAGTTTATGTAAAAAAAGTCGAATATGCTGTGCCGGGGATGCAGGCGTAGTGATCTGCGTGAAACGTCGTTAAAATGGGAATTTGAGAAAATGTACAGGAATAACATACCAATTTCACAACTTACATTTATTCTCGCATGTATTTATGTTATATTTAGTGGATGTCGTACAATATGAATGTCTTATTCTTGTGCTGTCGGATCGACAAATGAACTGCCGAGCTACACTTCGGTGATCTCCGCGTGAGAGCGTGAGAGGCTAGCTTGATTGCGTCATGCGTGAAGCCTTGGTGGTGCCATCTACGAATTTCAAACCATAATGGCGACTCACGCATGATCGAGCTAAATGTTCTTGCCGCTACTCTTAGTTAACGTAGTAAGAAGCACAGGTAGTACACTCTACTACTCTCTGACGCCGTGGGTGTTAGAGTATGCTGATAGAATACACGCTGTTAGGGCGTCACATTTACGTTATCATCGACTTCCAATTTAATTTTATTTCAAGCCTTCTATCTTACTGTCAAGTTGCAGCTTCTTGGCCACTCATCAGATATTACAGCTAATATACCTAGCATAACATGCATATATTCGTATAAACCCACATTCCCGGCGACCTGAGAATCTTTCAAAATAGTGTCCACGGCCTCCTAGACCTTTTTGCTTGTTTATGTGGGGTCTTCTAACAATACCCCGTTGCTGGGAGAAGATAACTGACAACGGTAACCCGCTACGTTACAAGCGCGCAGCGGCCGTGGGTTGGGGCATCCAGACCGTGAAATTAAGCGCGACCTCAGACCGCAGTCTCCCCGACGCGCCGGCAGGAGCGCCTCTGCGCCACCGGGAGCCGTTGGGCGTCCAGCTTCCATTCGGGTGACTTCTTTTAAAAACCGAAACGACGTTGGTTTAATCCTTGGACAGGATGTGTCTGTCTCCCGGCTAACCAACTTGATCTCAGCGACCACTCCTTTATTATAGGCGATTTGACGATCTAA